TCAACAAAATGCAATTGCTTGACATTAAACTGCCATTCTAGTAGGCCTGTTGAGTATTTTCACTGACATGGGCTCAGCATTTTTTAACTACTTTTAAGATTCATAATCTGATTCTCTAACCAGAAACTATCTCATCTGCATAGCCAAAAATCTTCTTATGCTCATAGACACAAGTTCTCAAAAGAGACATGTATCCGCCAGGTTTTTGTTTTGGTTTTTATGGACAAAAAGAGCAGAATAGATTATGAACTTTGCAAAAGGGATGCAGTAGTGCCCAGGCAGTCTCTAGTGCACCACAAAATACCAAGAAAGAGACAAGCTAGTTGGCCTTTGAAATATATGGAAAACATAATACTGACAAAACTGTTACTAGCAAAAAATCTTTTTCTCCCTCAGCAGAAGTTATGGGTGGTCTTTTCAAAAATAAAAAGAAATTATTAGGAGATTTTTGGCTACAGCTCACTCACTGGCAAATGCAAAACCAAATATCTGGCATCAGGTGTGAAAGCAGTGAGGCACCCCAACCTCACAGTCATTAGAACTTTGCAAGATTTCCAACTCAAGTAAGATTTCCCAGCTCACACCTCCTTCATCAGCCCTCATCACACGGGCTGAAACGATCTTGGCAGCGGGAATAATTCCTCATCAGCTACAATAAGTGTTACAGATGTATCTGAATCAAACACAGCGCCCTGCCGGATACACGGCTTGGAGAACTCCCACCGTGCCTGTTGAAAACTCTGCTCTGGGGACTGCGAGCTGTGCCTGGAACCAGCAAAATCCCAGCAGCAAAACCCCTTCCCCATGTTTATCTTGAGCAAGGGTGCCCACTGCAGCCAAGGGAGTGACTGTCAGGTTGAATTACGTCCTGATAACACAGCGAGGTGGCCTCGTGCAAATGCTTCATTTAAACTCCTCATTTCCCTAAAAATAATCCAAACCACAGATCCATGAGGAGTGCCTCATCAGCCCCCACCCTGAAGGTATGAGCTGGTCTCCAGCTCCTGTGTCAGGAACAATTTATTTGCTTGTCCAACAGGGCTTTCTCATTCTTGCTGGTATCAAATGTCGCCTCAGCTACCCCCTAGGTCCCTGTCCTTCATACAGATAGCACATGGCTGGGAAATGTTTACTTTGCCAGGTGCTATCACCATCCTGGGATGAAGTGTCAAATTCCAGGCTTTCAGCTGGTTATAATTTATTCATTATATCACTACTTCATAGTAAATGAAAAAAGCACCAGTGTGAAAGCAGGAACAAAAACTCCCTTTTTGGCAATTCAGTAACCTGAAAAGTATTCAGGTTAAAAGCTCTTGAGTCAGACAGAGCAGCATCATATTATTAGAATAATATGTTAATATTTCAGTCATGCAACCTCTGTGGGTCTTTTGAAACACCTGTGGAAATAAGTTTCAAGCTATTACAATACTAACAAAGACACTGGGCTCAGTCAGTTTAATTGCTCAAATTATCCATATGACTGAATTTCATGAGGTAATAAAACACATCCTGATATAAACATAATAAATACTCTGTATAACATACTACACTGAGTATACATTCAACAACTTCTTCCTATTTTCTTTGTCTCCTCTGTTTTCCTGTTCCTCAGACTGCTTTCAGAGCAGCTGCTACTCAGCACACCCCTGAGCTGCTTGTGGTGGGATGGAAAGTGAGAGCCCATCACCTGCTGTACAATGGAGAGTCTAGCTTTAAAAACAACAGATCCTGCAGAAGAGATTTAGGTCTTTCCAAGGAAAGCACACCAAAGAGCCCAGCTCCCTCTGTCAGCACAGAGGAAAAGGCACCATTTCTTGCTATCTCCCCTTCCCTTTGTTAGGCCAGATCCATATTCCCAAATGTCATCACACCTCAACTGCATCTACTGGCTCTCTGCTTTTACTGCCTCCTCTGAGTGTTTTGTCATTGATAACAGACTCTGGGAAACCATTTTCCTTACCTAGCATTCAATCCCTGCTTTTACATTCATAATTGTGTCATAAAAGTGCATGACAGTAAAAGTTTCATGATGTCTAAAGATGGGCCTGAGTGGTAAAACCTGCACACCGAGTGAAAATTTTCCCAGCTTAAAGAGGTGTAGGGTTTCCAGCTCTACACAACTTGTTCTCTTTCCTAAATCATTACATGTTCTGCTGTTTTCTTTAAGAGGAAAGATTTGTGAATACAGGAAGGCATTTTCACTTTTACTTTATGATCGTGGTACAGAAGAGCAGCCATTAGAAGTAAGAAAGTTAAGAAGCAATAGTTTAAACATTTGGTTCAGAATCATAGTAAATGCTGGGAAAAAAATAGGTCATTACATTATTGAATTCATTATGTATTTCTCATTTTTACTGAAGCAATTTTGAAAGCTGATAGTCCACATCAGTAAAAGATAGCTAATTACCAAACAGAAGTGTATGAATTAAAATCATGCAGTATTCCCAAGGGCTGAAAAAATTATTACCAAATGTGTGAGTGAGTAGATCTAAATGATGACAAGTGATAAGTAATTAAAAATAATAGGTAAATACCAGCCTAATTTAATAAGCCCAGAAAGGATTTATGGTACTCACAATATTTTTAAAACATAATTTCCTTCACACTCTTAAAACCAAATTTACAGCTATATAAATTTTGACTGATGAAGTAGAAAAGTAGAGTACATATGCAATGTAAGCACCTGACAAATATTTTTATTCCATTTAATCAGAATATAATCATACAGCTTCCTTAGCCTTTTGATTCTGTGTATTTCAACAATTCCACATTACCAAAGCCATTCAGAAACTGCCAGCTCCCTACTGAAACAGCCAAATCACCAGCTGATTGTTCTATAAAATGAGGTACAAAGCAAAAACAGAGCATCCCAATTTAAGCTGGCCTAGGAACCTTCTTGCTCTTGACAAGAGGAGCTCCAGCTGTCTTGCCCAACCCTCTACCAGATATGACAGGAAGAGCAGGAAAGGACCATTCCTCAGCTACAGTAACTCACAGCCAAAATTTGAGCTCCAAAGTGCCAGGGGAAGTGGTGGCACATCACTGTCCCACTGGGTCTCCCCAGCTGCAAGGAGCAGCAGCTGATTGTTCCTGCTCCATGCAGGTGGGCTCTCTGCAGCAGAGAAATGCAGCAAACACCTGCAGATGGCCCTGGTTTAAAACACTGCAGCTCTCAGAGCTCCCCTGAGACCTTAAATCAGTAAAAAATAGCAACTTTTTACTGCTAACAGCAATACAAAATAAAATCATCACTTGATAAGGAACCCAAGCTACCTTCCCAGTTTTGCAGTCACAAATGCAGTACAAGATAGCAAGACAACCAAAAGAAAAAAAAAACACAGCAGTCTCAATTATATGATGGTCCTTAATCTGTGAAAAACTGGTAAACCTAGATTACAGGAAAAGCATTTTCTGCTTAAAGACATAGTACAACAACTAATACCTGTAGCTTTATGGTTATGCAGAAAAGTATAAAGTATGTTTCTAAACTGCTAAGTCAGCAGCTTAAACTCAAGCAGAAATTACAACAAAGGGGATGTACTTGCTCAGTCAAAAAAAGTCATGGAATTTTACAGTAGCTGTCCTAAAAACTTGTTTTAAATTCTTACAAGAGAATTTAGAGAGAGTCTTTAGAGAATTTAGACCTCAGGGAGAAAGAGGCATTGGCAAATACCCTCTATGTGAGAAATTACTATGACCTATAGCACAATCATTCTAACGTCTCATACCTCACTAATGAAAATTCATTTGCAGCCTTCACAGAGCTTGGTGGGATGCTAAAGAAGCACAATTTTACATTTTACAGCTGCTCAGCACTCTTTCAAGGAGACTGAAGCTATGACCACTAGCACTCAGTGCCTGTGTGTTCACAAAAAAATACCAAAACTATTCCAAGACTGCACCATACAAACAGAAGAGCTTCTGAAGCATTCACAAAAATGAATTTGTGAAAGTTTTGTACTTACAGACCAAAGATAATGCTGCCAGAGTCTCAACAAGAATCTGCATCCAAAATATTTGCAGCAAGGAACTGAAGCTCAAAATAAGAACATCCCAAAAAACGAAAAGAATAATTCCTTAATGTAACAGTTGAGAAAGCCATGATACATAGACTATCATCATACAATTCCAGAAGGCTTCAGCCCACACAGAGCAACATCCTGCCACTTCAGAAAGCTGCAGGCATCTGCCCTTCTTGTCCCTCAGCCCAGCCTTTTATCCCCTCCTGTTGATGCCCTGAACCTGTGTGCCCTCTGCTCCCTTTGGTGGTTGGGCAGTGCCCTGGGCTCTCATTACCTTCAATGCTGCTCACCTGCTGCTCACAGCTGCAGCTCATTACCCCATCAGCCACTCCCAATCACCACAAACTCTCTGCCTACACCAAGGTTCAATTCAGCACATCTGAGCAATATCTATATCTTAATACAGCTGACAGAAATAAAACAGCAAGTAATTGTGACACACAGCTGACAAAGTCCAACAGATGTATTCAAGACCATATAAAACCATCTAGTTCACAATCCACATGAAAACTACTGTGTCTCTTACTAAACCATAAAATTGATACACCTACCTAGAGAAAAAAAAAAACCTATAGTGCACTTATAACATTCCTTCCTTTTGTCTTATTTACCTAATCAAAATGGGTAAATAAAACCCCAAAACTCTATTTTACAACTGAGACTGTAATGCGGACATGGCAGAGAAAGCCATGTTCTTGTGCCCTTAGGGTAGAACAATCAGAACAGAAACACAAACTTGGTGAAAGGCCCTTGTCACAAAATGCAGAACATCAATTACTTTCACAGAAATACACAGCAATTAAACAAATCCAATAATCAGGATACACATGTATGCCTAAAAGACAAGTCCCAAAGCAGTGTTGTGCATTATAAATTACTTGACCTATTATAAAATAAGAGTTTTTGAAACACCAGCCCTTCTGCATTCCTCTTCCCCACAAATGACACCAGAGACAAATCAAGTCACTTCTCACTTACCTGTCTGGTAACCACAGCAGCCAAGGGTGGAAGGGGTGATTCGGCTTCCCAGTATTCCCAGCTGGTCAGTGCTGGCACATGGCACAGTTGAGGTGGCCATAACACACAGAGTGCCACCATAGAATTCCAGAGGGTTCCAGCCCACACAGAGCAACACCCTGCCACTCCAGCAGGCTGCAGGCATCTGCCCTTCCTGTCCCTCAGCCCAGCCTTTTATCCCCTCCTGCTGATGCCCTGCACCTGTGTGCCCTCTGCTCCCTTTGGTGGCTGGGCAGTGCCCTGGGCTCTCGTTACCTTCAATAGCATTCACCTGTTCTGCACAGCTGTAGCCTTTTTGGGATGATGCTCAGCTGCAGCCCCACTCCCAATCACCACAAACTGTGTGCCTACCCTAAAACAATTTGGAGAACCTTGGAAATTACTGAATTCCAATGAATTGGTGACCAGCATTTTTGAAGCCAGACAACTCTCACCTCTTTTAATGTGTTTTTACAATAATAAATCCTTGTGCAATTCATACCTGTGGTGACAATAACAATAGATCTCTTGAGCTCTGAATCATTTTCCACTCCTGTTAAGTCATCTTGTTCCTCCTCCTTTGTTTATCTCATTGAAACTCATAAGAACCTATGATTAACAAGTCACTACTATTATTATTATTATTATTATTATTATTATTATTGTTGTTGTTGTTGTTGTTGCTATTGTTATTGTTGTTATTATTATTATTGTGATAAATATATTAATAGATATATTTGTATATACAGATACAAATAGATAGGAAGAAACTACTTCTGAGACCTTTGTTTTCTTGATGAGGAAAGCAGGTTGCCCATACAGCAGACTCAGGAATAATGTTTGTTGAAGAATGCTATAAAATGGAAGTGATCCCACTTTGAAAACACTCCTTCCCCCTCACACCACTATACTGTCTAATTACCAATTATATTCTTTTGAGCATCTTAAAACCATAAGAAAATTCAGCCACTTCTGTATGAGATTTAAATCTAAACATGTCATTGATTTAACAGAAATTCCTCACATAAGGTTTTAGTGTGGTGTTCTTTGTCCTGCCTTACACACACATGTTAAAATAATCATGTCAAAGGATTCTCAAACTGTGTCTTCAAGCCTTTCAGAGGGTGATTCACTCTATTCATTTTCACTAGGCACAGTGCTGCTTTACTTTAACTGAACATACCTTTTATATATTTCATGTGGATCCAGACCAGTCTGCAGAGACCGACTGACTCTTTGCTGACAATGTCAACAGACTGAAACAAAATACACGTGGAGGAAAGAAAGGATGGCTGAGAGGGAAGGGCTTGGCAGAAGAAGAGAAACTTTTGGTGATTTGGTGGTATGTGAAAGAAACTGGGCTACTTCCCACTGGATTAGATCTTTCCACCTGCCCTGTCCCCACTCATCAATGTACTGGGCCCATTCACACCTCTCTTAGGTAAATCCTCTGGAGAGCAGAAGGAAAAATGCAGCAGCTCAACCAGAAAAATTGAAGGATTAGGGAGCAGCAAACTGGCTTGGCAAACTGACTCCATCTATAGAGAGGATACCTATAAATCTATATATGTATACACATAAATATATATATATATATATGGAAGGGATGGAAGGGATCTGCCTCACCCATGAGCAAATCTCTTCAAATAGGGCAGGATTTAAGCAGAACCTGCAGCAAGCTACCTCTAAGTATGCCATGAAGGTGTAGTGACAAGGCTGATGGAGGTACAGGTGAGTTAGTGCATTTAAAGCATACAAAACTGTCAGCTGCCAAGTCATATTTTTATAGCCTTTTCAAACATATCAGCTTCCTGTTGCATGAAAGTCATCCAACTGATTGTTGATAGCACCCTATCCTAGTATCACTACAGCTGCACCAGAGATAATATTTCTTTTCACATAAAAACAAGCTAGGGGGGAGGGGAAAAGGGAAAATAAAAAGTTAGACTAGTAGTGAGGCACACAAAGACAGAACTGCCCCAGATCTCTGGATGACAAACCTCACTTCCCAGGCACACACTTACTCTGGTCTGTAACCTGCCTAGCCCAGCCCTTGGCCCTGGAATATAAGGAAAGGGGATTTGACAGCAGATCCTCAGATGGAGAGCTTCTTGTCAGTAAGAGTCCACATGACATTTTGGACTAAACATCAAATTCAATGTGTTACAAAATCCTTTCTAGAAAACTCTCTTTCATAACCAGTGCTCTCATTTAAAATCTCACATCCAGAGAAACTCAGGGATAGAAAGAGAGAAGTTTCTCTGCTAAGGGTAAAATCTTACCTCTTATTTTCTTTATGACAAGACTACAGGTACTATTAAGGACTATAAAACAAAAAGAAGTTCTATTTGCATAGTTTGCATCTCCCAGGTCGCAGCTAAGGAATCAAGGAGAGACTGGTTTCTCTCAGAAAGATCAAAGTATTTTCCTTTACTTCGTAGGATATACAAACAAACTTAAACTGGAAACAGAGAGAAAAGGAGGACCTTTGCTTCTGCTAGGTATGAAGTCAGAGACATCATGGATGAGAAAGTCTCAAAATGCTCACTGATTTATTTTTGCAGGCTCTCCAAAGTGTCTTGACACCTTTATTTGGGATCCAGATATTTATATAACACTCTGGAATTCATCAAAGACCAGTCTGAAATATTGTCACATGGCAGCCAAACTGTCTCAAGATGCCTCACTAGAATTCGAACATACACACTGCACAGGAACTTCTTCTAGCAAGCTTTACAGAAGGGACCAGATAAAGCTGCCAAAGAAAATGAAATTCAACAGCCAAAAGTATGTGAAAATAACCCCTAGAATTGAGCACTTTATCTCTGCTGGAGAAACATTTTCTTTTCCTTTCCTTCCTAATTCAATTTACATTTATTTCCATTGTTCTTTGGAAATTTATTTTGCACCACATCATTATTATTTCTATCAAGCTTTAGACAGACTTATTTTTATGCAGCTAAAGCACTGACTTTGATCAAGGGACCTCAACCATTTCATCTCTTGTACATGCAGCCAGTGTCTCAGCCCTTAAAAAACATTCCAGCATCTCTTGGTTTGCAGTCAGAAATCACAGTATTCTTTACCTGTAAGTACTTGCTTGTATTTTTTCAAACATTTTTTATGAGCACCCCTTGGAAGAACAAGATTGAAATAATAATTAGGGAAATCCAACACAATGGGAATAGGAATGCCACTGAAAGCACAGTGTTCTTTTTATGACTTGAGAAGAAAGCATGCAGAAAAGTTTCTGTGCTCCTCCGAATCTAATTACCTGTACAATTGGAGGCAGGTATTTATAGCTGTGGTTACTGTTGTTGCTGCTATTCAACAGTCACAAAATTAGGAAATCCTAAATGCTACTCCACCTTTTCTTGTCTCCTCACTGAGCCTCACTTGGAATTACTACTGTCAGCCACAAAGAGAACAATTTCCAGACATGCATTCTCTATCCTGTCCTGCCACATTATTTTCACTCTGGTGTAGGAGGAATCTACTCAATCTGCTATTTCAACAAAGAACAAGTCCAGTATCTCTCTTTACCTCCTCACATTCGCATCAGTCATTCACCATCACACACTGTGGTATAATAATAGTTCTTGTGGTCGATCTCAGATGAATAATAATCCTGAACTAGACTGTTTAAAGAACATAAATATTTTCTTGGGTTAATTGTCTTCTTCTATTAGGGGTTAGGCCTCTTACCTGGAGCGGTAAATGCTTTTGTACCTTTAGAGTCTGAGGTTCCAAAGTACCCCCCTTTGGGTGGTAAAACTTGCAAGATAAGCATTAAAATCCTCCTTCATTTCAGTGGGGCTGTACTAACAATTGCCTAGAGGACTTTACAAAATCCCTCAGCACTCAGAAAACCATCTGTGCTTGTCACTGGCTCTTGGAAACATTGTCCTTGAGGAGCTCCCAGGGCCAATGACAGAAGAGTCAAGCATTGGCTTGCTGATGCACAGTCCTGACTCACCTCCTCTAATCAGTTCTCAGAGACATTATCAGAATTTACAGTGGAAATCACTGCACCAAGCAGAGAGCCACAGCTCTCTGGCAGCATTTTAAAAAGCTCCCCAAATGGCTACCTCTGGCTCCTGAAAATTAGCCACAGCTGTTGCTAAAACTGAGTGCAATTCCACAGGAAACCCACAGAACTGGCAACTTTAAAACAGTAACAAGCTTCCCCAAGCAATTTTTAATCCTGAGCCCCCAAGAAGTACAGAGCCAAAGCTGATGCATCATCCATTCTCTGAGCAAACCTCAATGTAGTTCTCTCTGCTGGCCTCTTCCACAGTGTCTCCCTTGCGGGTCTCTCCAGCATGCAAGAGTCAAAAAAGGAGTCACCAATATTTTCCAATGTGATTTTCAAGAAAAACACATTTTAATATATTTCAGGTACATGGGCCGTGAACAAATGTACTGCAGCCTATACATAGTCACCACTTTCCCAGAAACTCAGGGCCAAATTCTGAAGTAATTGGAACCTTATGCAACTGTTGACTCTAGTGAGAGCAAACAGGTGTTATGTCAATTATCACAGATTATCTCAGTGGAATAGCCCCAATTTGGGGTTACATTATGACAATTTTGTAAGTGCTTGACATAAAGGGTCTTACAGTCAACATAACCAGGCACAAGAGGCTCATCAGTGTTTTAGGGTGGAGTAGTGTACAATCAAAGGAAAGTAAAAGTGGCCAAAGTTTCCTTCAATCCAGAAAATCCCAATGACTCCTTATCTCCAAGGAGTATTTAACAGCTTGCACAAGTTAGCACAGCATAAGACTGCTCTGACATAGGCCAAGTGAAGGGCTAAGTGCATGGCTATGAAAAAAAATTGCCTACTAAAACCTTTGTTATCCAAGATGTGCTTTTATTTTAGGAGAATTTGCTCATTCTTTGCAAAAATATGTCATTGTTTCATGCCCACAAAAGTAACTGAAACTACCTGCACTCTACAAAATTTCAGTGTGCCTTCCCTTCAGCACTGAACAGGATTTCTGTCTGAATTCTACTTACCCAGTCCATTTTCTAAAGGAAAAATTGACCTGCGACAGCTGTTGCATTGTGCTTGGCCTGGAATTAATGAAAAGAAGCTAGAATTCCTATTTTTTCAATAAGCATGTACTGCCTTTTATCCCTTTGATAGTCAAAAAAAAAAAATAAAA